CAAGTGCCTGTAATTTTACCGGCATCCTTACCTTTCAAAACCGGAACATAGTAATGCTGACATTACCTCACCAGCTCGGAAAGGCTTTCTTTCTGTTTAGAAATCTGCGAATTTGACGATGGACTGTAATGAACCTAACTTCTTCTTTCGATGAAAAAAAAACATAACGACGCGCTCAACTACGCGATTTATCGTACATTATTTATGTAATATAAATCCTTTGGTGTATTTTATTCCTATTATTGTTGACATTACATTGGCCACAATAACTAAGTTTGTTTATTAAATTATTTTGTTATAGTTCAAATATTTTTCTTTCATCTACCATTTTCCTCGCTATAGTGAGGTGAAAAGTTGTGCGTTTGGCTCGGCAGCAAAATTGTTTTGCGTCTACGCTCTACGCTCTATTTTTAGTCTTGGTATCCTTCGCTTGCTCAGGTTTTAATATAAGCATTCTCGTTGAACAACTTTGCATCCTGGCACAACGAGTAACTATTGTTTTCGATATTTTATTTATTGTTAAGTAGGTACAGTTTGCATATTAAATTCGTATTGGTTGTCACACAGAGACATAAGTTGACAAGTCCCATGTGCCCGTAATTTCACCAGCGCCCTTACATGCTTATTATTGCTTGGCGGCAGAAATAGTCAAGGTGGTAGTACATCTCTGGACGTACTCTTTCACGAGGAGCTCTACTATTATTACTAATAATTATAACTTTTTTATTAAAAAAAACCGACAGCAAAAATTTGCTTATCGGCTGTTTTGTTGGAATTACATCTATTTTTATTCAGATCGCTTAACGGAAAGTGCGCGAAACTGGATTCATCCCTTAATCAAAATAATTTGGATATTTTCTTCAAATTTAAATGGGACCAATACTCCTTAGTATTACTTTAATATACCTTCTTTCCACCAAAAAAGAATCATGAAAATCAGTGCATAAATCAGTGCCGGAGTAATCGCGTAGCATATACACAAAAAAATATAATCGAATTGAGAATCTCCTTCTTTTTTGAAGTCGGTTAAAAACTACCTTTACATTGAGCGTGCTTGCGAACTGCATCCGAGTCGAATCCGAGAAAATGCGAATATTGTACACCTAGAGATAAAATTATCCCTGTGACATTTCGGACCGTCATTTCCAGGAGATTTTACAATGATATCTATTCTGATCATGATCTGTATAATGGTAGTTGTAGCAGTTTCAGAAGACTCCTACATTCGAACCCACCACCTTAATTTCTTTACGTAAGCTTTATGTTTTCCATATTTTTTATTCTCTTTTTTTATAAATAATTTCATGAAGGTATTAAATGTCCACTGTTTTTACTAACGTGTCGTGTATAACTATAATTGTATTGCAGATTTACATTCATTCATGTAGAGTAGTTTTGTTAATGTATATTCTGATATGTAATCTGTTGATGTACCTTGTCCAATAAAATAAAATAAATTCGGAACTGGGGGTCTACACTCGGTCGCCGTCCGACATCCGTCCGAAACAATTACTGACAAATAAGCAATACTTGACCAAATGAAAAGACGCGTGATGCGAATGAAGCTTCATACTGGATACTTGTCTTTTAATTTTGTCGAATATTCGGACGTAGTGTAATGCGCAAACGCTGTGACCCTTTTTGTGACCCTGCCGGAATCATCGATTGTATCGATGGATCTATAACACTTTAAAAAAGGAGTTGTGTCAGTGGCTATTTCTGTAACAAGTAGAAGTACTGTATTTTATAACCCGTGAATACTTTCACTAGCATTTTTGTTCGCAGGAATATTCCTCTCCCTACTGATATTCCTGAGTGTGGCCGGCAACATTCTAGTCTGCATAGCAATCTACACGGATCGCGGATTGCGAAGGATCGGCAACCTATTCCTCGCATCGTTAGCCATCGCTGACATGCTGGTTGCTGCTGCCGTCATGACCTTTGCTGGAGTCAACGATTTGTTAGGGTGAGTTTTAATTAATAGACATAATGTTATAATTATTAATACAAAGATCGAACATAAATGACGGTTTGCATTGTCGGCACTGGGTGAAAAAGTTCCGGGTTCGTCTGTTCTGTTGTCAGACAACCACCTGGTCTTCAACTAGGGAATTCCTAGGGGCACCACAAAAACACCCAGGTCGAAACTAATATAGAAAACTTTATTTACCAAATTGGTACTAGGAATAGAACCCGGGATCAAGAGCCACAAAATTCACTCTGCCAAAACCGCGTTAGAAAAGTTCATTTCTGAAATTTGTCCTATCGGTAATCGAACCCGAATCCCTTTACTCCAATCGTCCTATTTGTATTACTATAATTATATTATTTGCGTGTGAAATGTAAAACACGACCATCTATCTATTCGTAAAGCAAATTCCACTGAGAAGAAATATTCACTGTATTTAAAAGTTCGCACTATATAACCCGTTTACGTCTGCCTTTCAAAGAAATATACCATATTGTTGAGATGCTAAGTAATATTTTTTTATTACCCGTGGCGGCATAAGCTGCAGACGACAGCCGCGCTGCGCAGCTGTCGTCGGCAGCTTTTGCCGCCACGGGTAATAAAAAAGTTACTTAGCATCTCAACATATGTATGCATAAACGCGACAGCTACGCAGCGTGGTCCAGCTCGGCTTTACTTTTTATTACTAGAAATATATAGTTTATTTTGTAGAAAATAATGTTCTATATTGTATTCTATAAAGTGCGTCAGTCGCAGCCCGATGCTGCCTTCGTTTTCGTTTAAAAATTTTGTTTGCACCGTCGCGTCGCACAGCACGGCGGCAATGTGAGACGACCTTAACACATAAATAAAAGAGTTACAAACGTAACAAAAACCTAAATAACACAAGAACAAAATAATAATCAGTAAAGTACAACTATTAAGTCATATAGTCATTTATGCCACAAATGTTAAAACAAGACCTTGATGACGCATTCAATCACGGTACATTACATTACGTTGTTCCTTGATAAAATTTTACCTTTGACTGATTACTTACGTATATTTTTAGTTACGCGATATTCTTACGTAGTTACTCAAAAAAAGTTACCGTTATTACATATTGTCATGTTAATGCTACTATTTGTTTATGGTTTGGGATCAGCTTACTCTGGTCCTTGTTGATTGAGATGTTATTACCGTCTACACATATTGAACTCGAAAAATAAAAGTAAATTATTATAAAAAAAGAATTTCAAAATAAACCCAATTAGGCTACAGAATTACAAGAAATCATCAAATAAAAAAATTTAGAAATCGTCAAACAAAAACTTTAAATTGAATAATAATAACAATATTTTGCAAATACTCGTAGTATGTAGAGTAAAATTTAATATCTGACGACTCGTTGTCAGGAATCGCATCATCTTAGGGACCAGAATGGCGGAAATCTTAAATTAAAGTCTCACACTATGATGACAGGCGTGTATCCAATCAATTCTTCTTCAATTCGAAATATTATTACAGATCAATAGCACAGGTATTGCTATACTTAATTAAATTATCAATTACACAATAATCCTCAGGATCACGCGGATAGAAATGGATTAAAAATGTGAAACACGATGAGTTCAATACTGAGCTTGCACGTCCAGACAAAAGGCAGCCGTACATACGTACGAACTCGCAAAACATTAATCTCCTGGAGCAGTGCCATATCATTCTAGTTAAGTTTTGTTTATAGTGCCCCTCCCTATCAACCTCTTCGTTATGTGTGAAGGGTACTATGACCTGTGCGCGCACAGGAACCTTACAAGTTCAGGTTCTGACTCCAGATCAGCCAGTGTACAGGGTTGTCACAGACCTTTGTCACTTGACTTCATCCGGTTCTTCGAGAGGCTAGTACCCTCCCTTTTTTTTTTTCAGATAGGTACCGGAGCTGTAGGCACGCTCACTTCCCGTTGCGCATTGCACAACTAGCGCTTGCCACCGCTAAGCCGTCAACTCTGGGTCCACTACCAAATCTCCTCATTGGTGGCGGAGCTGTAATGTACGCTCACTTCCCGTCGCCGAAAAACGGCGTCTCTCCAGTTCCTTATTATCCTCTACTAGCTCTCCGGGCTAGTGCCGGAGATGTCAGTCGCAGCGTCCAGCGGCAAGGTCCGGACATAGCTTCCAACTTAAAGGACAACTCACGTGCTCCGCGCGTCTCTTCGCTTCAGGCCCTCAACTAGACCGCTACTAAGACGCGCTAGCTACTCACACGACAGACGCCCCGGCCACGTCAACTGTCCATCTCTGCAGCCAACCACAAACTCCAACGAGTCCATACCCAAGTCCGGGTCCGCCAGTGACGGCCGCAAAGGCGTATCACTGGCGGAGGGCTTGGCCCGGACGCCCGCTGTACCCTGGTCTTGCCGTCGAGCCCTTGCTCTCCGGAAAACCCTATCTCTTGGGTCGGTAGATAGTACTCTCCTGGAGCAATCGACATAATAACACATTTAGTAACAGTACAGCTCCTTGTGAAGAGTTCGACCAAGGACGTACTGCCATCATACCTATTTCGGTCGCCAAGCAGTAATTAATTGTGAGCATTACTCCGCTCCCGTTTTGAAGGGTAAAAGATGCTGGTGAAACTATAGGTACATGAGAATCAATATTATGCCTGAAGGTGACGGGCGTAGTGGCAGTACACCTCAGATCTTTGCGATTTAAAGCTCCAAGTTCGCGTGTCGCTTACAACCAGACGCGCGATTTGAATGTGCCATCACGTAATATTATAAGGTAAAAATCAGGATTTTATATGATCGGATAAAGTACACCCCATCGCATAACAAATTAGCATATTCTTTAGATAATATTTTTATGTGCCTCGTGTATTTTTTGTGAGACCATTATTTAATAGTAAATACCTAAACCATTTGATCTAGCAAAACAGGTTTTCGCGAATCTCCTCCGGTGACTAGCCTTTAGTAAAATCGTAAACCAATCATTCCAGCATTCGCTGAGAAGGAAAATCCTCTGAGAATCTACATTACTACTTCTTTTAGAATATTTTATAACGCACACCTTTTGAATGCGTAAAAATCCTACCGTATCCAACAGGACAAATTCCATTACAGACTCGGATTAGTGAACTAATGTAGTTTTGGACACATAAATAAGTCTCCCTTCGGAATAACGTAACATTCCGGATAGAAGCTTAACTATTCGTATATCCCACTTGTATATCCTGAAAACGAAGTCTTTCTTTCTCTGACCAACTTTTGGCAAAATTAGTTATAGAATACTTGGAATTATCAGTCATGATGATTGCCGTGCAGATAGTGAATGAGGCGCGAGTTCAATTCTCAAAACCGAAAGTATTGTTTTTATATATATATGCTACGGATAATTTGCTTAATCGGGCATTTTAATACGAACCGGCCATTATGAGTAATAACCAAGAGCATCGGCCAAATTATTAAATTTGTAATTTCCATATTAATGTGGTCTATTTGTTAAATCAAGACTAAAGATAACATTAATTGCCCGGGTAGTACAAATAATTCAAACTTTATTAATATGACCAATACATGGTTGGTTATTAGTTGTACCTCCTGATCGGAAAAATGATAAATCATGACGTTTTCATTAAAAGAAATCGGCCATTATTCATGGTGAACAGGCTTATCAAAGTGCCATATTCATTATTCGAACCCGTTCAAAAACCGCAATATCCGCTTTGAAAACATGTCAGAAATAAACTGACCAAAACTGACTGACAAAAGGTAAACAAATAATTTCCTTTGTATCAAACAATATTACGATCAAAACAGACACCCATAAATCCTTAGCATTTTTCATTCGTCATTATTTTTATAAAACCGATATATATCCAATTTTATATTTCTACCCGACGTAAAACTCAGAGATAAGGCTGTAAAACACTGTTTCCTGAACCTACGCTACAGTCAAAAAAACTTGTTTTAAAAAAGGATTGGACAGATAGAGTAGTTTTCAATGACATTGACTCGCATTTAACTTCGAGAAAAAAATAATGGCGGGTACAGAAACCTGCCATTTTTTTTCTTTTTACACAAATTAATTTTTAGTAAGTATTATGGGGTTTTGCGTTTTTTAACTATTTGTTACTTGCTTATGCTGATGGCGCTATAGCCAATACTCAATAAATAATAATAATAATAATTACATTCACTCACAGTTGGCGATAAGGGTATTTGCGTCACTCCTCTCTGTATGATATTCCTCCCTTTAAAATCCCTCGTCCTGTTAATACCAAATTCCCACTATCCCATTGTGTACGTCCTATGTAAATTTATTAAAATTAACGATTTGTTTCTCTAATAGTTTGTGTTGTCTATTGTTGTAGATTCTCCTCTCAGTGAAATCTGGCACCGAAAACCACCAGTGAAATTTCTGAGTTAAAAACGCTTTATTTTAAATGCGATCACAGTGGCCGCCATTAATGAAAAATAATAATAAAACAAAAAAGAACAACGATCTGCAACAAGCACAAATAGAGAAATTCGTAAGATCTGCTAACTCGTTCCTTAGCACAGTTGGAAGAGCGAAAGCTCCGGTTTGGCGAAAAAGTCGCTGGTTCGGGTCCAGCCGGATCGAATGAATTTTTCTTTGTGTTTGTTCGATCTAAATGTCATGTCTTGTTATAAAAACATCTGATATTCCATAAAATGAATATAGTGATAATAATAATAGTTTCAAGCAAAAAGATTTGCATGTCAGAAAAAGATCAAAGAACTAACGACGTGAAAAATCGTCAAACTGAAACACTAAACCATTTTGGTCGCGTAAGGTTCCGTATAATCAATTTATTATTTCATTTTCCCAGGAAAATATCTTTCTTTTTTCAAAATAATAAATTTTGTACAGTTTCTGATCTGTATATTTAGGATTATATTCTGAAACGAAAACGGTGGTTTTGAAATGTATTAATGCGTAACATGAATATGTATTTATTCTAAATAAATCATTCAACGTCCCATTGTACGGGTGTTCTCTAATAATTGCTCGCCACGATGGCCTAAAGCGGGTAGGGAATTTAACATGTAAGAGGTTAATTGATAATGAAAACCAGTCATCCACGAAACCAGCCGCGAAACACGATTTAATAAACTTTACTCGATAAAAAACACAAAGTCAGTTTCATACGATTGTTACTCGAGATATTTCAATGATTTTTTTCTCCCGTGTTGCGTAATATAATAATCAGGTGACTATGAGCTAATTTTACAGTAAGATAATATACTTTATTTCTAAAATATAGTGCAATGAATTTGAGACGCACCTCTCCACGTCTACCTTACACGCTTCAAAACATACGGCACATCGATTCCATTTCGCCTTTAGAGTCTATACAACCTCAAATGACTTTGGTAAATTCCGCATAACAGCGAAAGTATTGAATCAATCACTTTGAAAAAAATATATAACAAAATTAAGGGTACACATTCATTATTATAAGGTGTGAAAACACGCTTCCTAAAAATTTTCACGATAGAAAAAAAAAAACACAAACTTGCCTCAAAATTTTACAAGAAAACCACTGTTCAACAAGTATTTTACATATACCAATGATTTTTTTGTATATCAACTGAACTAGATAGAACACGTATAATAGACAATATACATTTTTCAAAATGCTATAGGGTCGTTTGTAAAAAAATTTAAATAATATTCTTAAATAAAGCAGTGCTCCTGCCGCTCGACCCAAGCAAAGTGAACCATATTAGTAGGGAAAAATTTGAATTCGGGCTCAGGTAGTATCGACTCTTAATAACAAACACTAAACAATGTTAACTAGCTATACCAAAAAAATTATGTGATTGAAATAAACAAGATGTTAGAATTATTAATACAAAGATCGAACACTCAGAAAAAATTCCTTATACCCGACCGGATTCGAACCGACGTCTTCTAGGATACCGTGACGCAATACCAACTAAGCCACGGAACGAACCAGCGGACCTCACGAGTTTTTCTATGTGCTTGTTGTCGTTTGTTTGTATTGTCAACGGCTTTTTAGCGGTAGCGCCATCTATGAGAAATCTATGAAATTATTTCGTCACTCAATTCGATGCCTTTACAGCTACCAGCCCCGGCTAGAGATGTTGTATTTAAGTGAGTGTTCGATCTTTGTATTAATAATTCTAATAAACTAGTGGAGCAATTTCACAAAAAAAATAAATAAAAATTTAAAAACAAGATGTTGTTAAAGGTGATAATGTAACTTGTTTCCTTGTAACATAAGCCAATCAAGCACAATAATTGCAGCAACAATTTTAATTATTGCTGAAACCATTGTAGGTAATGAATTTAATCATAATTATGATTGATTCCGCCAAATATCTTTATAGGCCATTTTTAGTGTATAAGATGATTGCTTTACAAATATTATTTATTAGTAAATAAATGCTACTATACACCAAGATAAATATTTAACCATTCAATAGATAAATAATGTCTCTCGTGAACATTATATTGTGGCTACATCGATCAATCGTTGTCAAAATTTTACTAAAGATATTTTCGTCCCACAACGCTGTGTTGTATCCGTTTACGACATTAAAATTAAAATATCTAACAAAAAATTTAGTTTCTTGATATTTTTACGACATATAAGAAAAATGAACAACAGTTATTCAAATTCATAGCTTTACGTTTCAGTTACGCCGTTTCTCATAACCATGCATCGCATTTCAATTCTTAAAGACCAAAACACATTTATATATATTTATTTAAAGTCGCCTTAAACAACTACAAGAACTCAATATTTTATTCAAATATGAATATTACTTGAACACCACTAACGTTATAACCTAGACCTATTATTATTTATAATAGACATCCATGACAATATGTTTTTACATATATTAATTTTAAAATAATTCTTCGCCCTTTATTTGCAGACAATCATACATTTGTTTACAATAGAGAATACAAAACTGTTGATAACGAAGCTACAATGTAAAAACAATACAAAATTAAAGTAATTGATGACCAGTTTTATAAAGCTACAAGTTATATAACAGCTATTCAACCAGTTTTTTTCTTTTTCTGCAGGTATTGGGTGTTCGGCGAGCAGTTCTGCGACACGTGGGTAGCATGCGACGTGATGTGCTCCACCGCCTCTATCCTCAATCTGTGCGTTATTTCGCTCGATAGATACATCCATATTAAGGATCCTTTGAGGTAAGTTTTTTCAATAATGCATACGTATTTTAATGTAGTAAATTCGTAGCAGTTGAGCAATTTGTGAAAGAGTTCGTCCAGGGTACTGCCACCTTACCTATTTCAGCCGCCAAGCAGTAATGTAAGTATAACTGCGTTCCGGATTTTAAGGGTAAAGGTGCTGGTGAAATTACAGGCACATGAGACTTTTCAATTTGTATCTCAGGGTGACAGACGCTGTGGCAGTGCCCTTTGAGCTGCTCTGCAAGTGTATGGACAGGCGTGATGCTTACCACCAGGTACACAACTTGGTCGCCCCGTCACTAAGTATCATAAAAACAAAAAAAGTTGCTGCTTTTGGAGATAGTATACCTTTAACGCCAATATTCCTGTTGTCGGAGGAACTTGGTTATTTAATAACTCTACAGAAGTAGGAATATAACAGTAAAAATGATAACTTCGATTATACGCAATACTTTTATATTTACGAGTATTTGTGTTGGCGTACGTTCCAGCGACCGCAAACTTAACTTAAGCTCCTTATATCTCTTTTTCCTTATATACCACTATGTTACTTTGATGTTTTCCCAAATGGACAGCATTTCAAACTACATAAGCCTCCTATTAAGAACTAAAAATAAACTATAAAATACTTCTTCTTGTCGTGTCGATAGTAGACACTATAACACTTACCATCATGGTGAAAGATATTTCAGTAGCAGTATAGCTCCTTGTGAAAGAGCTACCACCAAACAGTAATGTGAGCTTTACTGCGTTCCGGTTTTGAAGGGTAAAGGGTGCTGAAGAAATTACAGGCACATGGAAGTTGTCACCTTATGTCTTTGCGACTTAAAGCTCTCAGTTGCACTACAGCTTTTATGAACAGGCGGGTAATTATACTACCAGGCACACGACGTGTTCGTCCCGTCAGTTGATATTATAATAATCTCAGTACAGAGTACTGAGTACGTGAAATTACATCTATTCGCAAAGTTTTATTGAAATATCCCCTACTTCGCCACTACACACGACTTGACACAGGAGATAATAAAAATCGGTACTCACTACTCAAAGTATATTAAGAGAGAAAACGCCTTGAATTGGAGAATAGCAAAATCAACCATTAAAATAATTGCTTCTTAAGTAAAATTTAGGCGCTATTTATAAAAATGAATGTTCATGCGTGATCAGCCACCCTTAGAGGTGGATGATTTTCCTCAAAATGAAATGGGACCACTATGCAGTAGGTACCCTCTTTCCAACAAAAAAGAATCATGAAAATCGGTTCACAAATACCGGAGTTATAGTAACATACATACAGTCGAATTGAGAACCTCCTCCTTAAGTCGGTTAAAAAAATCAGTCGGCGCGATATTCTCGTCGATTGCTGCCCAAGGTGCGTCACATGTGCAGAAAATCAATGATACATCGTTTGGGAAGGCTCCTTTCTTGCAATTTGAACAACTAATAATAAAACATCAACATTTTTGAAACCTAATACACAATAGAATTTGAGAAAAGTTAATTTTAAAAATCGTCTTTGTTAACGTTAACAATCATTTATTTTTATTTATTTATTTACATATAAAAATCATACAAAACATGTTTTAATGCAATGTAACATAAACTATGTCGTTTTCCCGTACATTGCTAAAATTCATCAGCGTTAGTTTGACTGCGCCTATGCATGTTTGTGTGTGTGTAACTGGTTCGATCGTGTTAATAGATTGTGTGATGTGTTGTGGATGGTGCGCGGGCGAATGCGAGAACAATTTTAACGTTTGTTTGTATGTGGATGTGACTCGATGTGTGTGTGTGAATGAAACTGGTTAATAAATTAAATAGGATGTACTTTTTCTATTAGGTTAGTTTAAGTATTTTGTTTGTATTATTTAGCATTTTAAACAAGTTCGTAAAAAGAAACCTTAATTTATAATGTATACATATATAAATTAAATTAATATATATTATATTAATATATAACATAATGAGTACACTTATTATATTTGCATACATACATATAATTATCTCAAAAATAATTTCAAATTACTTTTAGTTTTTTTCATACATACAATTACAAATGTAATAAATTGCTACGAGACTAATAAATTATATAATAAAAAAATTCATAGCAACAAAACATTTTTTAGTAAATGTAACAAAAAATTCCTCTTTAAAAAAAATCTGTAAGTAGTATAATAGTCAGCATGAGCACCTTTTCGTGACAACTTGAAAAAAAGGTGCAAAACTATGTCGTCATAAGTCCCTTTCAAAGGCCTTTTATGGCCCAGCCAGAAGAAAAAATCGTATTTTCTCTAAGCTCATAAAACGAATAAAAATAATCTAAGAAAGGTTGTGTCACTGACTTTTCCGTATTTTCTTTATTACGCGCTTATGAAAAGCCAGTACAATGGAAAAGTGTATACTGACACATAAATATTTTGGTATGGAATCATTTCAGTCGTGGTTTTTAATAAGAACCTTGCTTCTTTTACAAAAAAAATGGTTTTTAGGGTCTGTTCTAAGCCTACACTGAAAAAATGGACTTTAATCAAATTCTTAATAGACACAATCACATGATTGAATTTATAACAACGAGATTCCGATAACAGTGAAAGTATTGAATCAATCACTTTGCAAAAAAATACACAGTAAAATTTATTACTATATCATACGGTGTGAAAACACGATTCATAAAAATTTTCACGATAGAAAAAAACAAACTTACTTCGAAATTTTACAAGAAAACCGCTGTATTCAGTAGGAACTATACATACCGCAATGATTTTTTTATATCAACTGAACTAAATAGAACTCGAGTACTTTACGATGTATATTTTTGAAATGAATTTAATTTTGTTCGCAAAAAAATAAATTCTGAAATGAGTACTTTTCTTGCCGTAATGCATATGATTCAATATAAAGTGTTCTATGTATGTAACTCATTGGATGTTGTCAGTATGTTGATACTTCTCTATGGAAAAGCAGGAGACAGCAACTACACAGAAAGCGCTTGAAAATCGCACTGTAAAGCCCGTAGTTGTTTGTTGTTTTTTGTGATCCATTTATAACAATTTTTGATGATGATCAGATGGGACTCTACGACAGTGGGGCGCTGCGTGAAGCTGCACACGGCACTAAACCGGTAGCTGCGCTTCGAGCCTTTCTACAGGGGAATCTTATTTATAAATATTAAAATGTACTTTCCCAGTTGTTACCAACGCTAATTTTTAAGTTATTTTGTTACTAAGACGATGGATTTAAAATCCGAAATAAATTATTATTATACAGTACTATCGTATTTTAATATTTAAAAGCTATTACTGTCCACGAAAGAACTAAATTGTTATTGCAATAATTGTGCTTGATAAGATTACATGGAAACAAGTTGCTCTTCTTGTTTATTTAGACTACTTTTTTTTAAGTGTAAATAGTTTCTGACGGAATTCATTGGCGTAATTATGACGGTTAACGATTTTTTCAAATCAGAAATCACAACATGTCTTTGCTTCTTCTTACTGCGTAGGTACGGCAAAGGAATGGTATGCTCTACAATTTGGGGCTAAACGAGGTTAGAGTGAATAGGCGCTTTTTTGACAAGCGCGTACATCAGGAGGAATAATGCCTAAACGCGTGTGAATTGTAAAGGAGTTCGTCCAGGGAAATACTGCCAGTTTACCTCTTTCTGCCGCCAAGCAGTAATGTGCGCATTACTGTGTTCCGGTTTGAAAGAGTGAGGATGCTGGTGAAATTATGGGCACAAGGGACTTGTCAACTTATGTCTCAGGGTGACGGGTGCGGTTGCAGTGCCCCTCAGATATATTTAATATCGTACAACAATAGCGGATTAGAACAAATGGGAAGCGCCAAAATTTCGCAGCTGAGATTCTTTGCCTGTAGCCATTGACTTACAATTATATGGACGTCGGGCCTGTAGCATAAATTTTAGACTGGAATTATTGCGTTATTGTTGTGTTTCGTTAACAGTGCTCATTTCACGTCACGGATTTTCTTTACAACCTTAAAATTCTGCAACATAACAATGGTTCCGACAGGAAACACGTTAGTACTACTATATGGGCATTTCCATATACACAATAATATATGAGCCTGTTTGCCGATGAGTGTTCTTTCAACAACCTTATGTCGCTTTTAAAATTTTAGGATAAGTGTTACATTGTAGTCATTTTTGTAAAATGGTATGTATTTGTCTTCTTTTTTTGTTTATTTAGTTTTTAAGAACAATTTTGTATCTTGTATCTTTTTTTTTTCAGCCGTTTTCAACCTCCAAGATATAGGACCTCCTTCAATTTATGCCATCTTTCCCGGTATTTAGCAGTTTTTAACCACTTTCTTCCTGCCAGTCCTTTGATATTGTACTGTGGTCTTCCTCTTAGGCGTTTCTTGGCCCACAGTCTCCACTCTACCACTGCCTTGCACAAGTTTTTTTGCAGATGACATGGTCAGCCCACTCCCACTTCAATTTCGCGACCCGTTTACTCTACTTTACTCTTATATTAAGTCTTGTTGGATGCTTGGGCTTACGTTGTAAGTCCACGAGAATATTTCCTTTTTTAAATAAATATATTATAGTTCAAAATAGTTTAGAAGGATAGGCCTACAAACATACCCCATACAAAAGAAGTTTGATTGTATTTAGATTGATCTTGATTTACTCATCAAACACAATGTTATTTCGTAGCAGCTATTTAAAAACTGAATGAATTTTAATTTGAAAATTTTATTTTTCACAGACAACATAACATTTATTTTTATGTGACGACCTCCGTGGTGGAGTGGCTTGTACACCGGTTTGCATGGTGTGGCCACCTCTGAGGTCTCTGTTTCGATCGCCGGCCGGGTCAATGTAGGAAAATTAACTTTTCCTACATTGACCCGCACGTTTGTGGTACCATCGTTGTTTCCGATTCAAATAAAACTAGTGCTTTAGTTACTTTAATTTTGGGTCAGAGCAACGTATGAGATGTTGTGTATTGAATTATATAATTAATATATACAGT